TTATGGTTCAAGAATGATCTTTAAAAATATGATTTTCTAAAATAGGGAATGTGATTCCCAGTTGAAGGGAGAGAAAAATTTTTGAAATTCGCCCCCTTATTCCGCAATCTTTGGGCGTCCATACGATGGATCTCTCATCCCTTCAGATATTGGATTACCCCAAACACCTTTGACTGAAGATCTATTCACCTGATTTCTTGCCATCATATCCACTGTATATGGGGTCAGCTACATGAATCCTGCTCAACCACTCTGATATATTTAAAACCATCACTGTTAAATTATTGATGCCTAAATCATTTCTTACAACTTCCACCCATGTCCTTTTTGGTCTACCCCTAGCTCTTTTAGCCCCTTCCACTTGTAAAAAATCACTTCGTCTAATTGGAGATGTCGGTGGTCTTCTATGCACGTGACTGAACCATCTTAGCTTATTCTCTCCTAGGTCTCTTCCAACCTTAAAACCATACATTAACCCAGCCTCCACACTTGTATTTATTAATCTACTCAAAACCTCTACCACCAGCAAAAAAAAGCATAGGAGAAAGGGGGACTCCTTGTCTTAAATGCCTGTATGAACTAAAGAATTTGTAGAGACTGTGTACTAATACTGAAAAAAAGGTTAATAAGATGCAAGTAAACATCCAACTTTTCAATTTCTCCATAGGGATATGCAAATGGATCAGATCGGATTCGAATCAAGGCATATCCAAATCCGATCCAATAAATTATAGGTCTGATTCAACTGGATCTCAAAAATATTGATTTGATCTCGAATCCGATAAGGATGTCAGATATCCAAATCTGATCCGATCAAGTCCGATTTATTTTTAAAAATTAATAATTTATTAAAAGAAAAAAATAAAACAATTTAAACACATAAATAACAAAAAAATGCAAGTATTTTTTCAACTATTTTCATCATACTAGTAAACATGTGCGTGCATTTGCACATGACAATATCTCCAAGACAACTATTTACAATTCATGGACAGTTTTTGAACAGTATAAATGGGCAGTTTCTTAACTGTTATAAGTGGACAGTTTTTGAACAATTATAAGTGGGCAGTTTCTTAACTGTCATAAATGGGCAGTTTTTTGAGTGAGAGTAAAGAACATATATGCCTTTTTTTATGCCCGTTGTATGTTGCTTAGGTAAGGGGTAAAAATGACTAATGAAAAGTCCAGAAAATGGGGTTATTCGCTCTTTTTTTTATGAATGATAATAAATTTATTAATTCAGAAAGAGATTTAGAGTGACTTCATACAACATCCCAGGGAGAGGCGCGAGCTGCAGCCCTTCCTTGAATCTTACAAGTAAACTAGGAAAGAAAAGCAAGAATCACAACTAAGCCCAAAAAAACTCTTCCCTATTTACCCCTTGCTTAGCTAACACATCTGACAAAAGTATTTGTTGATCTCCCCACCCACTGTATAGTGACCAACATATTCCTTGTCAACCAACTAAATTTCTTCATTTCATTCTT